CACTGCGCCTGTCTGGTCTAACGTTGGTCCAGTTCCACTGCGCCTGTTTACCAGCACAACCTACAACCAGCCTAACGTAGGTCGGTTACGTGACTCGAGCCCTTTTGGTTTTTGATGGATTCGAGAGTTTTGTCTATTCAAAGCGAGGACCTTCATTTCAGAACCACGTTGAATAAATCTGGAAAACTGCTGGAGTAAATGTTCTAACTGCACCATTTGAACCAGTTCAGGATAAACTTTTCCATGTCTGAGTTCAAATACTTTCTTTGTATCGAGAACCTTGGATCGTTTCTCACACTCATTGCATGTTGGCCTCTCAATCGACTTATCGACTGTTTCCAAAGAAGTAGTTGTGTTGTTGTGAGAGGCGGCTGTGGCTCAGTGGTTAGAGCAGTCGTCCTCCAATGCAAGAGTTGGGGGTTCAACTCCAGCATCAGTCACATGCTGAAGTGTCCCTGGGCAAGACACTGAACCCCTCACTGCCTCTGGTGTGTGTCCCATCAGTGTTTGCATGTGATGAAGCTCTGATTATTGTTTGTCCAGATGTGGTAGCACAGTCCGTTGATTGTGAGATTGTTTTTGTGTGTCGTGTGTTGGATTAACGTTGATCCGTCATCATTTATGGGTTCAGCTAGTTGAAGCTTGAGTTGTGTATTCATTTGTAAAGAACAAAGTCTGCACGAGGCCTTTTCCATGTCTGAGCACTTCCTTTTTGTTTGACTACCAAACAAGATGTAAAAACAAAGTGCAGTAGAAGTGACCTGGTACCTGTTTGAGTTAGCCACACCTGTGTGTTCTGAACACACGCAGACAAACATCCGGGTTTCGTACACGTTAATATATAAAAGTAGACTTGATCCAAAAGAGATTTTAACCGTGTCTGTCCTAACTTTGTGACGCTCTGTTGAATTTTTCAGTTTGATCATGACAGTTCCTGCTGAAGGGTGAAATCAGTCCATGTTGTTTTTGAGCTGCTCATGGTTCAGGGATGACACTAACGTTTAATCGTTTGCTTCACTCCTGCAGCGTGCTGCCAAACGGACGATGCATCTGCTGAGCCCAAGGAACACGTTTCATCCCAGCTTCATCTTGTACTTTTGTTTAGGACCTGCTGCGGCCTGTTGCTCATCCAGCCCTTCTCGTTTTAATTTTCTGTTTGTAACTTTCTTTTGGTCGCAGGGTCTTTATTATTCCTACTACAAGACAATTATTGAGGCTCCTTCTTTCCTGGACGGCCTCCACATGATCATGAATGATCGACTGACTGAGCATCCTCTGGTTATTAACACACTGAAGAGATTTAATCTCTATCCAGAGGTACGTTTGAAATTAGAATTATTACTATTCTTAGAATTTTAATGCTACTAATCGTATTGTGCACATTTTTCACATCATGCTCTTTGACAGAAATCATCTAAAATTTTGAAACGTCTTAAAAGTTGCAACTTAGTTGCGTAACTTGTTGCAGAAATATGTCGGATTTCCCTGAGTGCTGTCATTAGGATAGAAAGGCCTTGTGAAGTGTCATGTTTGTGCCGTTCCATTGTCTCCGCTCTCCTCAGGTGGTCCTGGCCAGCTGGTACCGTATGTACTCTGGTGTAATGAGCTACTTGGGGATCCCCACAAAAATGTGCTGGTCCATCAACAGAGGAGAGGGGCTGTCTGCTGTGGACAGCTGTGAAGGTACATTCTGGCACCGTGGAGCCCACACCTGAAATGCTAACACGCTCGTTAGTGCACAACACGCTCGTTAGTGCACAACACGCTCGTTAGTGCACAACACACTCGTTAGTGCACAACACGCTCGTTAGTGCACAACACGCTCGTTAGTGCACAACACGCACACACAACGTGCTGCAAGATGATTAGTTTTAGTGCAGTGATCGCGAGTTGCACATTCTGACATCTGAAGTGCTCCTCACGTTCATTTTGTCTAATAATTTGAACAAGACACTGACAATTTTTTATTTTCATGCAAAAAGCGTTTTAACCACATTAAACATTTTGTCTTGTTTTTAAAGTGTTGAAAGTGTAACGTTTCAATTTGACAGCGAGACTAAGGTGGTCAAATGATGGCTCTATAAATAATAATTCTAGCATACAGTTCTTTTTCACTTGTCTTGACTTTTGAAAATATTTTTACTGCCATTAAATGACAAATGCCTTATGAAAGTCAGTTGGTCTCTCATGTGATCTACTAGTTTTAGCTGCAGGTTTTTAAATCTGTTGCGACAGAAATGAGTCACATTAAGTGCCAATTCTATTTGAGTCAGTTAAATGCTCAGCTTCCTTTATGTGAACGTTTTTTCTTGGAGGCCTTTAAAAATTGCATTAGTTGTATTTTTAAAATGGAAAGCAGGCAGGGTCAGTTCAGCAGCCTCCAGCAAAGAAAACGTGAAGTTCAAGAAAAATGTTACACATCTCAAGTACAGAATCCAACAGGACACACAATGTTGTCAGCCAGAACCCTCCTGGTACCTCCAGAGTCCATTTAGCTTGAAGAGAGCCCGCAGAGCATCCTTTAAAGACTGAATAATGTTTTCTTTGTTTCTGCAGGTTAGGATGTCGTAAACAAAGTCAGGTTAATGTCCTCAAGACCCAGAGAAAATCATCTTTTGCGTGTTCAGATACAGATATTCATAGCTGTGACACATGTGCCTAACATCCATCCCTACAGCTCGTTATGTACAAACATGCTTACAATTTGAAACATATAAAGTGCTGAAACTTCTGTGGGATCCAAGAAGTTCCACTAACTGTAGTCACTACAAACGCGACATGGACTTATTTATAAAAGCCCATCGCTGTCGTGCCGTACAAAGAAACGACACATCTGGTTTAAAAACGTAAACAACTGAAAGTACAATTAATACCGATATAACTACCCTGTTAGAAAAAGTATTTTAAAGCTGTCACAAAGTTAAGTTTGCTTCTTGGAACTCTTGAAAAGTGTGAACTTGTTAACAAGCTAAAAACGTGCCAGCTGTCTGTGCACGTGCAACCTCAGTTTCATTAGTGGGAGCACGAGGGTCGCTGCACTCGGCCTGACTTGAGTTTGCTCAGAGCTGCTGCAGTTTCCTGTAACTGTCAGTCAGCACCGTGTTCTGTGAGATTTAAGATGGCACGTTGGAGCAGGGAGTGTAAGTTTCAGATTAATACAAGCTCGTTTTTGTGTTCCACCAGTAATTCACAACCCGTCAGGTGACACGGCAGCTCCCAGCGTCTTTACAGAGCTGAGCTTCTGTTCTACACGAGCTGCAAATGATCTGAAGCGATCAAAGTTTCCTGCAGCCTGTCTGAAGTGTGACACGAACACAAGTCCATTTATCATAAAAACTCAACACCTGAGTCCATAAAGTTACTACGCACGAATAAAGACCGGGAGTTCCTCTTCTTCAAGTGTCCTTTAAAAACTGCACGTCTGAGAATGGTTCTTTTTATCTGTGGTGAAACTCTTTGGACTTTGTGCCATTTGTATTAATAATCAGTTTAAAGTTAACAAGGAATGTAGTAACTTAGATTTAAAGCTAATACAGCGTGAGCTTTAATGTAGGCCGCCGGTGTTGTCTCATTATTTACATTAAGAGCCACATATCTCACACTATTGTTATCTGAATAAAAACACAACTCTTTAATATAATGGAAAGCAAACTAAAGATTCCTTTGTGAGTTTTTTCCACTGTAGGAACATAACAGGTGTAATAAAATCAAACTCCGGCTGCAGGGAGTCGTTGTTTGTTGTTCCTTCGCAGACGGAGCAAAGGTCTTCAGACAAACAAGTGATATTTGTACATGGCCATCGGTGAACTGGAACGGCCCCAGATCTTACTGACTCTAAATGTAAGCAGGATTTCTGAAGCAACCCTGTGGGTTTGTGGAGGACTGGACCCAGCTGCAGGACTGGACCCAGCTGCAGACTGGACCCAGCTGCAGACTGGACCCAGCTGCAGGACTGGACCCAGCTGCAGGACTGGACCCAGCTGCAGACTGGACCCAGCTGCAGACTGGACCCAGCTGCAGACTGGACCAAGCTGCAGACTGGACCCAGCTGCAGGACTGGACCCAGCTGCAGGACTGGACCCAGCTGCAGACTGGACCCAGCTGCAGACTGGACCCAGCTGCAGACTGGACCCAGCTGCAGACTGGACCAAGCTGCAGACTGGACCCAGCTGCAGGACTGGACCCAGCTGCAGACTGGACCCAGCTGCAGGACTGGACCCAGCTGCAGACTGGACCCAACTGCAGGACTGGACCCAGCTGCAGGACTGGACCCAGCTGCAGGACTGGACCCAGCTGCAGGACTGGACCCAACTGCAACCAGCTGCAGGACTGGACCCAACTGCAGGACTGGAACCAGCTGCAGGACTGGACCCAACTGCAGGACTGGAACCAGCTGCAGGACTGGACTCAGCTGCAGGACTGATCTGAGGAGCTCAAAGATTAAACAAAGTCGAACAAAACGCTGGCGTGGCAGCAAAACTAAACTAACAAGAAAACAGATGATAACAGGAAGTGCATGAAGACATGAAGCACCAACAGTGAGGTGAAAAACGTGTCATGCAGAAGTGAAACAGACTGAGATGAGAGGATAATGGAAATACCTGGGCTGGTTGCTGAGTGGGGACAGGTGAGGGGGACAGGTGAGGGGGACAGGTGAGTGGGACAGGTGAGTGGGGACAGGTGAGTGGGGACAGGTGAGTGGGACAGGTGAGTGGGACAGGTGAGGGGGGACACTAACTGGACAAACACTTTGAGGAGTTTGACTGAGGCTAAATGAGACATGAAGCACAAAAGGTCTAGGTGTCTGTCATTCACACCTCATGTGGTCCATGTGGTGGAATGAAACTATGCACACAGGGTCCCAGTTACATCCAACAAAAATACAAATTGTAAAGAATAAAAAACACGAGTAAGATCTAAGATATGAACTAAGAAATACCCAAAACACAAATGGATAAATATCTAAACTGACAGGAAACACAAGTAACACAACCTAACAAACAGAAATAAAACGTAAACCATGAAGGGAATAATTCAGTTCAGTTTATTTATAAAGCACCAAGTAGGCCTGTCACGAAAATACATGTTGCTGGACGACTGTCTGAAATTATTGCAATAAATGATGATATTGTTTGAAATTTGACAATTATTAGTAATTATTGTCAAATTTAAGAAGAAATGTTGGTTAATGTTTATGTGTAGTACCTTTTTGACCACTGGATGGCAGTATAAGACAGTCTGAACTGAAGGATGGATGGTGAGGGAGCGAGCAGCGTCTCTTTAAGAAAAATGGGAGGGAGGCCCCTTGACATGACATGGGCTGTCTCTCTTCAACAACATAATATTTGACTTGACATTTGCTGACCGTTGATTGAACTCTGTGTGCACGTCAGGGTTGGGAGACCCAGCTTACTTCTATGTCGCCTGCGTGTTCCTGCTGAACGGAGTGATGATGAGCCTGTTCTTCATTTACGGTGCTTACCTCAGGTAGGTTCACGCTGCACCTGCGCTGCACCTGCGCTGCACCTGCGCTGTAGTCAGAATCAGAACATAGATGTTTTTATACTGAGCACTGGGGCAGACTGGTCCCAGTTCACCAAAGCTTTTGGCTTCTTTTGAGATGTTACTGCCTAAAATTCAAATACCCTTTTTTTAAAGGTACAATTATTTTTTGTTTTAACTTTTGTTAAATTTACCACTTTCTATTTGCAAGTTGCAATTTTATTTACATTTTACTTAATGTACCAACTTTTTGTAAATGAGGTCATAATTGTAAATTATTAAAAATTTCAATTGTTTTAATTTAAAACTTTAATTTGAAATTCCATCCATCCATTTTCTTCTGCTTATCCGGGGTCGAGTCGTGGGGGGGGGCAGACTTCCCTCTCCCCGGCCACTTGGGCCAGCTCCTCCGGGGGAGCCCAAGGCGTTCCCAGGCCAGCCGAGGAACTCAGTTACTCATTTACAAGGACCTTCATTTTAATTTTAATAATTTGTATTTGAAATTTAAATTTAAAATTGAGGTCCTTGTAAAAGTCCTCGTTGTTCAGTGAGACTTGTATAAATAAAGGTTGAATGTAAAAAAAATTAAAATCCCTTTCAAAAGGAGATATGCACTTCAAACTGCGCTGCCAAGTAAATCAGTTCGTGTGCTGCTGCAGTTGGCTCATTGTGCTGTTTGAGGGTAATCTGCTGTGGGTGACAGACGATGGTGACTGCTTCTTCACCCCACCCACAGTTAGTGGCACAAAGGATGAGCTCAAAGTGGGCATAACAAGTTCTTGTTGAATGAGGCCTCACGTGCCTCCTCTCTGATCCAAACATCAAACACAAGTCCTGTCTGTCTTCTGCTCTCTGGCTCTAATCTGATTTTAACTAGTCTGTTTTCTTGTTTTAACCAGTGGAAGTCGACTGGGAGGAATTGTTACGGCAGTGTGTTTCTTCTTCAATCATGGTGAAGTGAGTGAATTGTTCTCAACATCAAGAAACAAATAGTTTTGAATTCTGTAACTAAAACTAACCAAACTGCACTCTTTTAAAACTCATAGTAGCTCATATGGAAACTTGCTAAATTACATCCTGTTGTCATGAGTTGAAGTATTTTTAATGAAAAACACAGGATCAATATCTAAGTCATGTGTTTTCCATTAGATATGTTTATTTTAATAAAATTGTAACTTTTAATTTTTGTGATTGTAAATCAGAGCACTCGAGTGATGTGGACTCCACCGCTGAGGGAGAGCTTTGCGTACCCATTTCTTGTTCTGCAGATGCTGCTTCTCACTTACATCTTACGGTAAACTCAGCGTCTGACGTTTACTTACACGTTTTGTCTTTTTCCTCACTTTTTATTCTTTATAAGTTGTTGGTGATTTTGTGGAGTTTCTAATTGGATCATCACAAACGGTCTCCGTGAGAGACGTCTTGTTTCTTTGTAATGAGGGTTGTAAAATGTTGGAAATACTCCTTTACAGCCGTGTCAGTTGAACTTCATAATGTGAAATTAAAATTAACACGATTCTCTACTTTTAGTGTATTCATATAAACTTGTTGGAGCATTTGGTGTTTTCTGTTTGTTGTTTATAATCATGTTAGACTTGACTGGGTAAATGACCCGTTGTCTAGGGGGGGGGGGGGGGCTGTAGTTTAATGTGAGTAGCATCATGAACAGACTGAAGCAGCATCATGAACAGACTGAAACAGCATCATGAACAGACTGAAACAGCATCATGAACACACTGAAGCAGCATCATGAACAGACTGAAGCAGCATCATGAACAGACTGAAGCAGCATCATGAACA